AGGGAGGGAGGGAGGGAGGGAGGAGCGAGTTAATCCTCCACACTGAACCTCGACCTCGAGTCCAACAACCGTTAATCTTTTATCATTCATCAGGTAGCTGCAGTGAAACCATTGATCACTTCCAACCTATAATCAATAACATCTGCTCAGTAAACTCCAGAGCCAGGTTCAATACGGAGCTGATTCAATCAATAATCTATAATCAATAACATCTGCTCAGTAAACTCCAGAGCCAGGTTCAATACGGAGCTGATTCAATCAATAATCTATAATCAATAACATCTGCTCAGTAAACTCCAGAGCCAGGTTCAATACGGAGCTGATTCAATCAATAATCTATAATCAATAATCAGAGTCATCAGACGTCTGGATGTTATCAGAGACACAAGCTAAGCTAACGTTAGCAGCAGCAGATGGCCAAAAGTATGTGGACGCTGGTGTGTTTGATATTGAGCAGGCGGCCGTTGTTGTTCAGGCGGCCGTTGTTGTTCAGGCAGCGGCCGTTGTTGTTCAGGCGGCCCTTGTTGTTCAGGTGGCCCTTGTTGTTGTTCAGGTGGCCGTTGTTGTTCAGGTGGCCCTTGTTGTTGTTCAGGCGGCCGTTGTTGTTCAGGCGGCCCTTGTTGTTCAGGTGGCCCTTGTTGTTGTTCAGGCGGCCATTGTTGTTCAGGCGGCCGTTGTTGCTCAGGCGGCCGTTGTTGTTCATGCGGCCCTTGTTGTTCAGGCGGCCCTTGTTGTTCAGGCGGCCGTTGTTGTTCAGGCGGCCGTTGTTGTTGTTCAGGCGGCCGTTGTTGTTCAGGTGGCCCTTGTTGTTGTTCAGGCGGCCGTTGTTGTTCAGGCAGCGGCCGTTGTTGTTGTTCAGGCGGCCCTTGTTGTTCAGGTGGCCCTTGTTGTTGTTCAGGTGGCCGTTGTTGTTCAGGTGGCCCTTGTTGTTGTTCAGGCGGCCGTTGTTGTTCAGGCGGCCGTTGTTGTTCAGGCGGCCCTTGTTGTTGTTCAGGCGGCCGTTGTTGTTCAGGCAGCGGCCGTTGTTGTTCAGGCGGCCCTTGTTGTTCAGGTGGCCCTTGTTGTTGTTCAGGTGGCCGTTGTTGTTCAGGTGGCCCTTGTTGTTGTTCAGGCGGCCGTTGTTGTTCAGGCGGCCCTTGTTGTTCAGGTGGCCCTTGTTGTTGTTCAGGCGGCCATTGTTGTTCAGGCGGCCGTTGTTGTTCAGGCGGCCGTTGTTGTTGTTCAGGTGGCCGTTGTTGTTCAGGTGGCCCTTGTTGTTGTTCAGGCAGCCGTTGTTGTTCAGCCGGCCCTTGTTGTTGTTCAGGCGGCCATTGTTGTTCAGGCGGCCCTTGTTGTTCAGGCGGCCCTTGTTGTTGTTCAGGTGGCCCTTGTTGTTGTTCAGGTGGCCCTTGTTGTTGTTCAGGTGGCCCTTGTTGTTCAGGTGGCCCTTGTTGTTGTTCATGCGGCCATTGTTGTTCTGGCGGCCGTTGTTGTTCAGGCGGCCGTTGTTGTTCAGGCGGCCCTTGTTGTTCAGGCAGCCGTTGTTGTTGTTCAGGCGGCCGTTGTTGTTCAGGCGGCCCTTGTTGTTGTTCAGGCGGCCGTTGTTGTTGTTCAGGCGGCCGTTGTTGCTCAAGCAGCGGCCGTTGTTGCTCAGGCGGCCGTTGTTGCTCAGGCAGCCGCCGTTGTTGTTCAGGCGGCCGTTGTTGTTCAGGCAGCGGCCGTTGTTGTTCAGGCGGCCCTTGTTGTTCAGGCGGCCCTTGTTGTTGTTCAGGTGGCCGTTGTTGTTCAGGTGGCCCTTGTTGTTGTTCAGGCGGCCGTTGTTGTTCAGGCGGCCCTTGTTGTTCAGGTGGCCCTTGTTGTTGTTCAGGCGGCCATTGTTGTTCAGGCGGCCGTTGTTGTTCAGGCGGCCGTTGTTGTTGTTCAGGTGGCCGTTGTTGTTCAGGTGGCCCTTGTTGTTGTTCAGGCAGCCGTTGTTGTTCAGCCGGCCCTTGTTGTTGTTCAGGCGGCCATTGTTGTTCAGGCGGCCCTTGTTGTTCAGGCGGCCCTTGTTGTTGTTCAGGTGGCCCTTGTTGTTGTTCAGGTGGCCCTTGTTGTTGTTCAGGTGGCCCTTGTTGTTGTTCAGGTGGCCCTTGTTGTTCAGGTGGCCCTTGTTGTTGTTCATGCGGCCATTGTTGTTCAGGCGGCCGTTGTTGTTCAGGCGGCCGTTGTTGTTCAGGCGGCCGTTGTTGTTCAGGCAGCCGTTGTTGTTGTTCAGGCGGCCGTTGTTGTTCAGGCGGCCCTTGTTGTTGTTCAGGCGGCCGTTGTTGTTGTTCAGGCGGCCGTTGTTGCTCAAGCAGCGGCCGTTGTTGCTCAGGCGGCCGTTGTTGCTCAGGCAGCCGCCGTTGTTGTTCAGGCGGCCGTTGTTGTTCAGGCAGCCGCCGTTGTTGTTCAGGCGGCCATTGTTGTGCTTGAATAGGAAGCTGAAGAACACCGTTGTCTAAAATATGATTGTGTGCAGCGACATTAAGAGTTCCCTCCACTG